TTTTAATTGGCTATTAGGTCTGTTAAACATCTCTTAGGTATCACCAGCCAGAGATGCCGAAAAGCTCCCAATTTTTATATATATTATTTTATAGACTATTATAATTTAGCGCATATGCATTGTAATGCACCTACCTGATTGACCAATCAGATCGTAAGATCCGGTGTAATGTGAAATCGAAAAAAATAGCGATGTTTTGAAAAAATTGCTTGTAACTCATAATTTGGCTTATGAAACCATCTTTTACGTTCTAACAAAAAAATTTCCTTGCAAAATTTTGGGTATAACCAACATTTACCTACAATCTAACCTAACTCTATATTAGGACTAACCATTACCCAGCATGACAGAGGTTCTATTTATGTACAAGCATTACACATAGCAGATATTATAGTATGTATGAAAGTCATATGGTAACACATCCAATGAAATGTTAGTTTTTTACCAAACTTCGTCAGTTAGTCTATTAGTTGTCTTTAATTTAAATTGTGAAGATACATCTCGAATGATCTCTATTGTTTGAGACTTTTATAAGATGCATATTTTTATAGCAGTCAGACCACTACAAATATACGCACCATATAACTTCTCTAAATGCACATATTATATAACTTCTCTAAATGCACAGTATAACCTAGTTGCAGTCCAGGAGTTCTATATATTTGCATACTCACAACAAATGTATGCCTTTTTTTGTTTACTACTGCTCTGAGAGGTATGTGTTTAGTAAAATTGAATAATTTTTTTAAAAAAAAAATTTAGCACCAATTTTTTTTTAGCATAGATTTCAAAATGAACATTTATTAGAATTTATAATTTCTAATGACATTCACCAATATTTTACTTGTTCTATTTGTATTGCCAGTATAGACAGAATATCAGGCATTTCTCTTACTTCAAAGTTCTCTTCAGTATTCTCATTATTTTCGTCATTATCAAGATCATCTTGCGTAAGTGAATCTGCTCCTTTCTCAATTCGGTATAAAAATGAATTGATATTTTTAATAATTCCTTTTTTATAAAATTCTTCACAATAACTGCATCTTCTACTATAACAAACCACATGGTAGCCATGGCCACAAACAAATACAACACCATTTTCATTAACAAATGGAAGTTTACAGAAATCACATAATTTAGGATGTGGGAGATACGATGTACTATATGCAGTCGGTAAGCATCGCAAGTCCACTTCTTCATCTAAGGTGGCTAATTTGTATATACTAAGTGGTTTTTTTTTCTTGGTAGTAACGTCTCTGGTGATGCACTTTGATCTGCTCCTAGTGGTACTCTTGGTAGTAGCAGTGCTCTTGGCGGTGGTGGTGTCTCTTGTGGTGCTCCTGGTGGTGCCTCTTGTGGTGCCTCTTGTGGTGCCTCTGGTGGTGCCTTTTGTGGTGCTCCTGGTAGTGCTCTTGGTAATGGTAGTATCCTTGGTGGTGGTGGTACCCTTTGTGATGCTCTTGGTAGTGGTGTCCTTTGTGATGCCTCTGGTGGTGCCCTTGGTGGTGCTTGTAGTAGTAGTAATATTTCTTGCACTCTTGGTGCTCTTGGTAGTGGTGGTACCCTTGGTGGTACTCATAGTAGTAGTATTATTTTTTGCTGTACTTTTTCCATGATTATAAAAAACATTTTTAAAATATTCTAATAAAAAAAGACTAGTCTTGTCAAATAAAAAATCAAGCGTCTTAACATTATAAGGAAATTTTCAAGCTTTACAATATATATTTTTAAAAGTAAAATCATGATTCATTATAATGTAGGCCAGTTTTATTATATTGTCGGCTGTTGCATTTGAGGAAGTATTAGCTCTAATTTTGCTATGTGTATTTTCTACATATTATTCATTTAAACTTGACAAATGTTTTTGCAATACATTCAAAAAGGGATGTCCCATATCCATCCAATAAAATAAATCAGACAAAAACACAAGAGGAGCCTTATTGTAGTTCTTTTGTTTACAGCAAAAAAGAATGTTCAAATTCGAAAAACTGACTCGACATATTCATCAAACTGACTCGACCAAAACAAAATTGTATATACATCAAGTGTTGCCGAAACTAAGTTATCAAGCAAGTCGAAAGTGGTCTGATACTTGATATCTTTGCATGTTTAACCAAATTTTTTAATAATACTATCTCTAATTTTAGCCCATCCATTTCGTGAAAGTTCTAACATAAGATTTATTCGCCAAGGCTGGTGTTTATTTATGAACTTGTTGTCTTCCCCAAAAACAAAATGAAACATCTTCTTAAAAAAAGAATGGTGCACTAATATGACTTGCTCTCTACTGTTTAATGATAAGTGAAGGGGGCCCAACATTGGAAGAAATGACTTAAGCTTTTGTAATAATTCATGTTGTAAACCTGGGATTGTTTCATACATAATGCCTTACGGATGAATATCTGACCAGGCCAGTCAGCAACAACTGGCGTTACTTGCCCATCTAAATGTTGCATTTTATTATTTAACAATAAAATAACTTTTAAAATATTGACATAGTCTTGTACTGAGTGCAACTTCTGTTCTTTGAACCCAACCAACTGAAGTTCTTTTATTAATCTCTTCTCCCTTTGTTCGATTAGATTATCAGTATAATGGTGTACTATTAAAGTTTCAATTGGATTAGACTCACTAACACTTAAACGACCTTGTAAAATTTGATAGTTTGAATAAGATATATCAAACATTCCTTTATATTTGTGAAGCAAATATTAACAAATTCTATGTGCTTCGACTTTTTCTGGATTATGGACTGATATATTATTAAAAATAAGTGGCACAGATGAATATTTTATAACAGGTTTGACGACCAAGGTTGCAAAATGCTTTGCTATCAAAGTTGAAACCATATCTGGTCTATGATTCTCGTGTATAGCATGATAATCGTCCACATTATAAACGTGAAACACATTTTTCTAACAAATAAATTAAATTAAAAAAAAAAACATAATTAGTCTTAACATTCATTTATTCAATAACATTCAATAACATATAGCATACATGTTTTGTAAAATGTTGTTCGATCTTTATTTCATATTCTTTTTAAATTTTTTTATGGAATTCATCTACAGTTTTCACACATGCAGAGTACTCAAGGCTTGCCATTGTATCTATAGCCTCCCATGTAGCACCCAACACTATTAAGTATAACCCAACCTCTAATTTATGCCTATTAACAAACTTGTTACGCAACCCTGCAATCATATAATATAAGCTAACAATAGACTTCTTTGCTTCATTAATATTGTATACTGAACACTCTTTTGGAATAATTGCATTCATCATACTACTAAAAAAACCCTCTAGCTGAGGATTGGCATTCTCTATCATGTATTCAAACTTTGCTGGATCAAGTTTGAGACAAGTATTTTCTCAATGTTGTTGATGATACAACACTTTAGTTAATGCTTCTATATTCGAAGCAAATGTAGAATCTATAATGATATTAAAATTCATAAATAAGTAATCATTATAAAATATAATAAATGACTAGTATAAAATATTAAAACATAAGATACTTTTGTGTTGGCATTGAACATATGTCCAATGCCAACACTGAGATACATTACCTATACTACAATTATTTGTTCAGGGTTCTATTAGTTCTAATGATTTTTTTTTTTTTAAATTTTTATTTTTTTTAGATCATGATTCCGTTGGCCCCTATCGACCTCTACAATCTTGCAATAGTGTGGATGGAAAGTTGCCTTTCAATATTAAGGTAAAGGTTTATTTCTATCGTTTGTTTTTTGCAGCACTTCTCATATGCAACTTCTGTAATCACCCGGTATTTAACATTAGTATATGTACAGTTAATAACTGCACAAGACCCATGGTTTTGTTGGAGTCGCATTCTATTTTCCTTGTCCTTGATTAGTTATATTTTTAATTTACAATAATTAAACATAATTAAAATTTTTTTTTATTATACTATAACAAAAAAAGCTTATCACAAAAATTTACTCCAACAAAATTAGCAGCAACAAGCCTTGGTGACAAACTTGGCATCACGACTTGGCAGCGATGAGGTTTGGTGGCGACGAGACTTGGTGGTGATGAGGCTTGGCGGTGACGAGACTTGGCAGCAATGAGACTTGGTGGTGACAAGAACTTGGTGGAGACGAGACTTGGTGGCAACGAGAAATGAGACTTGGTGGAGACGAGAGTTGAAGTGACAAAGCTTTAATTACAGTAATATTTTATTACAGCAAAGTTATAGGAACAATGAATTTAACTACGACTACTACGAAATGATATTTAATCTTTAATTGCGTCAATTTTCTTACAGATGAACGTGAAAAGACTTTGATCACACAAAGTATAGCTTTTACTACCGTGAATTCTGAAACTTTAACTATACAAGAACTTCGAACTTCACCTTAACTACACAAATCTCTCACACATACTTTAACTGCGCCGAAACATTAACCCCAACAGCAGAACGAAAATCAATCAAATCAATTTTTTTTTTCCTTTTTTTTTATATATTTTTTAATTGGCCAATCACGATTTAATAAATCAGGATCTTCATGTTGCATATTTGTGGCCAATAAAATAGAACTTCTGTCATGCTCCCTTACCCTAAATTAATGCGTTGTTGGTTTGTTTTGATTTCACGTTACACCAGATCTTATGGAGTGCGTCACAACGCACTCGCACCAAATGATAAAAATCTATTTTATAATAATAAAAATATTAATACGTATAAGTATTTAAAATATGGGTTATTGAGACACTCTTAAAGAATAAAAATTAACTTGCAAAACTAAAAAAAATAAATGTAGCAAAAGTTATGAAAACCTGCACGAAGACGTTTTTTATCTTCATAAATGATTTTTACTACATGTCTTGCTCTAAATTTGTTATTAAACTGGTCAATCAAAAATACAACTTTTGTATCACATAATGCGAGTGTCCGGGAGCGTAACGACGTGACAATTATAATATTGGTTGATCTGCCCGGTCTAATAAATATAAAAACCAATGAGCTGTAAATTGTCGATCAAATTTTACAATCATTGGTTTTTATATTTGAGTGCGTGAGAATGAAAACCAGTAACTGATCATAGTAAATCATTATAATCAGTTCCAGGTCCGTGATCTTAAAGATCTTCGATATCCCAGTTATTAGTGATATAACGGTTATATCTCGGATAGCGAGGATAACCAAGATAATAAAGATAATAGAAATCACGAAGATATCAGATATTAGCGATATATTAGATATCAGCGATATATTGGATATCTCATTACTATGTAAAAATAAGTATATAAGCGAATACATTTCGCTTTGAATAAAGATTAAATCGATCGGAGTTCAACATTAAAAAGTGTTGTTCTACTAATTCTCCCCACCCAATAAATAAAATCAGTATTAACGGCAGGGATAAGTTTAGTTGGTTTTAGTGTGTATAGTTGTATTATTACCCGGTGCATCTTTCCCCTTTTACACCGTGCAGATCAGCCGATATGTACTGATTAAGTTATAAGTAACATGTTACAATTAATGTCGTGTAACTATTTTTTTATTGATGACGTCTTATATCGAATAACACTAATAGATGCTAATATTAAAAAAGTTAGATACTAAAAAATCATGATTTTAACATTTGGCGAAATATGTTACGAAATTCTTTTATAACATCTATTATAACATCTATTTCTTTGAAAGTGTTTGAGAACTCGACTTGATACAAAAGTGTTTAACAATTTTTCAAACTGATATGCCTTCTAAATTTTTTTTTT